CGACTCTACACCCAGGTGCAGCGGCTGCGCAGCGCCGAGCCCCACGTGCTGCTGCTCGACGCCGGCGACCAGTACCAGGGCACCATCTGGTTCACCGTGTACAAGGGAGCGGAGGTGGCGCACTTCATGAACGCCCTGGGCTACGATGCCATGGTAAGCGGGTGGCCCCGGAGCCCCGGTCGGAGTGGGAACCGAGAGGGAAGCCGGGGTGGAGGAGGAGCCCATGGCCTGGCACCGGGTGGCCAGCCAGCGCCTGGGAGCGAGGTAGGGAGAAAGGCCAGCGTGCCAAGTAGATACAGACGCAGAAGTCTCTTGGATGATGCATCTAAACGTGTTGAAGCTGGGGCTCCCACCATGAGATGTGGGTAGTTAGGGGAGCAGGAACCAGCCCTGCCTATCAGAGGGATAAGCTGGGGCACGTCGGAGTTGGGCAGCTCTCAAGTAGACCTGTCACGCATCGCGCTCACTTGCTGCTCCCGCTGTCTTAGCATGCTTTATCTCGGTTTTACTGGAAGGAAAACTCGAGGTCAAAGTCCTTGGGTACATGATCCAGGGCACCAGCTCCAAAAGAGGAGACCTGTTATGTATGGATTCCAGAGCCCTTTGACCCCAACTTGACCTTGATGAAGTTCCCAGCCTTGGGTTAGGTGCTCTGCTCAGCTACCTTAAGTGTTGCAAGCTATTTACTGTCTCCGTGCCTCCATTCTGGCAGCTAGAAAGTGGGCGTGAGAACTCTATGTACCTCGCAGAGTTGCCTGGCATGAAGTGCATGCAGCTTCTATACATGTTAGTTCTTCTTCTTACCAGACACTGCTGTGTAAATCTAAGAAAAGAAAGAAATTTCCACAGAGGACCAGAATGCTGAAAACGCTGGGGTTTCAGAGGACTTCAATAAAACCAGTTTGGCAGCAGAGATTTAGGAAGCATCCAGCTTAAGAGACAAGGGACTCCTAGAACACGTGCAAGAGTTTAAGTCCAAGCTCCCAAGTACTCTGTTAAAGATGCTGCCTTATTTGTTGGACTGAATTTTGGAGAAGGAGCAGAGAGGGTTACACAGTAATGAATAAGTATAACCAGTTTGCGTATTTAAGCAAACCCCTCCCCCAAGTTTAACCCTGTGTACTATCCTTGAGGAAGGAAGTCTGTGGAGAAACTGGGAACCAGAACTTAGGAGCATCAGAAGAGAAAGAACAGAGCAAGGGTCCAGGGCAATCTGTGAAGTCCTGGCTGGGGAAGGGAAGGAGAGGTGTGGGCGAGTCTGGGGAACAGAGGCCTAACAAGACACTTTGTATGAGAAGAGCACAGAGGTTGGCAAAGCACAATGCTGGATTTTTTCCTGGAAACTTGGAAAAAGAAGGACAGGAAAAGGTGATAAGAGAGTGCAGTTGTTTTGTTTTCTTCAACAAGAAAGCTCATTTTAGAGAGAGGAGAGAAGGGCAGATGGCTGGGTTTAAGGTTATCAGAACCTCTCAAAGCAGCAGCAATTGAAAGGGATCCCCAAGCCCCAGAGTTTATGGGGTGCTCAGCAGAAGAATGGTGGGTCCCAAGAACTCTGTGTGGCTTCACAGCCGGACCTGCCTGATGCTTAGTACACAGTAATGGCCAGATAAATATTTATCTAATTGAATTGTTATTAGCCTACTTCTCCATTTCCCCTCCAGAAGGGTAGAATAAACCTTACATGAGTTTGTTTTGATTTCACATATAAACCACAACTTTGTAAACTTTTCTTTCTGTGACACCCTTTTCTCCACAGTTGTGTAAACTCCTTTGGGGTGGTTGGGGT